CGATTAATCGAAAAAAAAAAAAAAAAATTCTATCAATATTCACAATAGTTCGAATTTCTGTGTAAATCGAAAAAAATGCTCCCCTTGCCATTTTGAATTATCGGGACTCGACTGTATAGGGATCATTGAAATTTACTTTCATATTTTCTGAAACTCGTCTCATTGCTTATTTACATTCTCTCAGTGTCTGGGTATATGCTAATCTATGAATCCAGCATGCAGCTGGTATTTTGCTGAGCAACTACTGAGCGCTCGCTCTTTGAGGGGCAGCTGGTGGCGCCCACGTGCGTGGCATGCATGGAATTTCCAATCAATTTTAATTGGCACGCCATCAATAAGAGCACAGCAGCAACGGCAGTGGCAGCGGCAGCAACCCGAAAAGATTTCCAAATCTGAAAGACTTTCAAAGACTTCCATGTGACTTGAATGCGACTTGTGTCGCATGGCTAAACGAATTCCCAAAATATTTGTGCATAATTTTAATTAGAGCATTTTTCTATTTTGCGCAATTTATCTTTGCCGCTGCCACTCGATAAGTATTTATATATATTTATTTTTAAGTGTGTGTACGTATACTAGTCTGTGTGTTTACGTGTGTGTGTGGCAAACGCTTCAAGTGTCAGAGTGGCATGCCACTTTTAACTGGCAATGAGTGTCAGCTCATTGCAATAAATTATTTTAAATGAGCATATCGACGAATGTGCCTGTGTGTCTGTGTCTATGTCGCGCGTGAATGCCACGCCCCCTCCGAGGTACTTGGGTGCACATGTGTCCCTCGGGCCGGGGGAAAATGTTCTTAACGCCGAAGGTATTTGAATTTGAATTTGAATTTGCGTTTGCTTCTGCTGCTTTAAGAGCGCGCAGATAAATCTCTCGGCGAGCCAATCAAAACTTCTGCTCAGCTCATTTAAATGTTCTTTGGGGCTGCACAGCAAACTCATTTAAGTTTAGTCCACTGCAGCAGCAGCCAAGATAGGTAAAAGGATAACACACACACGCACACAGTCAAAGCGATAGGACACTCCAAAATTGTCGCTAAGGGATTGGTCAGCGCCAACTTTTGCCCAGCCATGTTGTTGGCTTAATTGCCAAGTGTCCTTGGCCGAAAGTGCAAAAGGGAGCCTTAATTGCAGAGCTCTGCCGCTGTCTGCTGCCTGGTGACCCCTCTGCTGTGCCAGGACTCGCCAGCAACGGTCAGTAGTCGAGCAGCGTGCTAGGCCAAACTCAAATGTTTAATTGCCATTTAGTCCTTTTTAATGGACTCCACTGTACTGGCAGCCCGGGCTGCGTTCATTAATGGCCACGTCTAGATTTGCGCTCACCTCCTTGTGTCCTGTCGATACATTATCTCCGACTCGTAGCCGTTGTCCTGCCTCCAGATAAACCTGCAAATGCTAGCATTTTAATAGCCACCAGCCACAGGACTGCTGGACCGCTGGACCACTGGAGACGCAACATTTTTGACTTACAGACCGTTATCTATGCCGGAGTATGTCCTGTGAGTGGCCCCTCAGCTCGTTTGTATTGCATAAATTTTGGCTGAATTGCTTGTTGCTGTTGGCCGATAAGACGCCGTCGATAGCCTGACAATTAGCCTCAACTATATTTTGAATATGTATTGCTGCTCCGGTTGGGCAACTCCTGTTCGGGTTGGCGCTTTAATTGTTTCTTGGGATTTGTTGAAAGCGCAAATACAATTTGATTGCTGATAGCTTCTATCAACTAACTGCAATTGCTCGTCGAACGCTAGCTGAAGGGTGATTGGGCGCAAAGTAAATTAAAGAGAGGTTCATAGTGCAGCTTGATAATTAATGGCAGACAAACTCATATTATTATAGATAATAATTGATTCTATATAAACTAGCTTTTTTGTGTTTAGACTTTGCTGAGTTCTATACTTATTGTCTCATATATATATGTTGGTTAAGTACATAAACTGTTTGGTTGAATAACAAAATATGCATTACAATAAAAACAAATTTAAAAAAAAAAAATTCAACAAAAACAAAATTTATTTTTAAATGTAAATTAATAATGAAAATTCAAACTTTGTTTTCTTAATCTTAAAATGTAAAAAAATAATATAAAATAATTATAAAATAATCGAACCTCATAATCATGGAAACCCATAATAATTCCAGAAATATAACCAATAAACATTGTCCAAGTCTTGAAAAATATTTTGTAGTGTGTCTAACGCCTGAAGTAAATCATATTTCTAAGTATTTTTTATTTGAAAGCGCTCGTTACATATTTGAATTCGGAGAACCTTTTAATTGCCTTACATTTTCTTTTACTAACTTAGAGATAAGCAACTAAAACATAATTATTAAAGGCTATTTAGATATTTTTCACTGTATTCCTTTGGTTAAGATTCTCTGGAATGACGAAAATAATAAATATATTTACAAAGCTCGCTTTTAATATTACTTTCGATGAGCTCTTCGTCCATTTCTCTACTTATAAACTCCATTTTGGTCAACTCTTTGCAGCCTCTTGTTATATCTTCTCTTGGCATTGCCCACACAAATGCTTACCCCTCCTGCTGCTGTTGCACTTACATTTAATGAAAAAAAAAAAAAAAGAAGAAGGCGCTTTATTATTAAATTACGCCCTGCTCTGCTAAGGACTGTGCCGCCCCCTTTGTGCTTGACATAAACATAAACTGGGCGTCTTTTGTGCTGGGCACAAAGCAGCAGCAGCAGCAGCAGCAGGAGTTGGGCTGCCAAATAATGTATCCTGGCCGCCGGCTAAGCAACATAACAAAAAACACCTTTAATATTTTCATTATGAAGTCATTCAGCGCGATTATGAGCGCGTGACCCCCAAGGCGACTAACGGCGTCCAAGGCACAGGATACTAGCTCGTTCGTCCGCCCGTCCTAATGAACAACAACAGGACAACACTTCAGCTTGGCGTCTGCTGCTGATGAAAGTGGCTCAAAAGGCGTTCGGAGTGGAGCGTTTCGATGCTGAGGTAAATTACAATTTTCGCTTATAAGTGGCTGTCGCCGTCGTCCTGTTGGGTCCTGTTGCTGGCCAAGTGCAGCTGTACCCAATAATCATAATAATTGCGCCATGGGCGTCAACGTCGTCAACTTTTGCCAGACGCCAACGAGGCCAACAACAATTGCTTATAAAGTGCGTGTGACACATTAACGCAGGAAAAAAGCGCGAGGAAAATAGGAAAAAAGCGCGGAAAAGTGCTAACCAGAAGCGAGAGTGGAAGTGAGATAGAGAGAGCGAGAAAAAAAGGCAAATAATATGACGGGGCCAGTGGGCGAACTTCAAAAGAAATAAAAAATAAAATGTTTGAAAGAAAAGTCCTTTAATGCCGTGAATTTTACGCGGGATTTCTATAAAGTGCAGCGCCCCGTTTAGGGGGCGGGGCCAGCTCAATTCCTTCAGGCCGGCGGGGGTCCTGCGGTTGGTGCGTCGCAGTAAATTGAAAATGTTCGTGCGTAAATTGACTTTGGGTCAGGGGCATACGTATAGGCATAGGCAAATCAGCCTCCCTCCTCCTTCTCCTACTCCTCCTCCCCAGGCAGGGCTCGAATTGAATTGGAAACAAACCGTGGCGAGCGGCCAGTTCTTGTGTGTGTCCTGTCCTGTTCACCTCATGTCCGGACGGGCACTTTTTGAAATTGAATTTCTTGGCGTAGCGGCGGAAGCAAATTAAAAAGAAATTAAGCCAATTTGCCCAAGAGTCGAGGCTGCGGCTCCATTTCAGCTTCAAGTGCCTTGTTGTGGCTCGTAAATCTTTGGCCCATAAATACCAGAAGCTCCTGGCTCCGTCCGGATCGCGTTGCGCTTGGCCGGCGACATCTTCAGTACGGCGTGAAATTCTTTAATCTCATTCAATTCAATTAGTTCGAGCTGACTAGTTAATGCTGCGCGAACCATTCGCGAATTTCCTTTTCATAGCGCCAGCTGTCCCGCTTAGGTGTGCCGTGTCCCTGCCAAAGGCGGTTTATCGTGTGGTCATGTCCTTTCCTTTCCAGCGCTTATGCCGTCTCTTTGTCACTGCGCATTAGCTTTTGAAATTTATGTGCCACGAACCAACAGCTGGCCAATGCTTATCAGATTATATTCAAGGCCAATTAAGAGATAACCAAACAAGATTCGGGTTTACATAACAGTGCAGAGAAGGATGTGAAACGGTGCAGCACTTTGAATCAGTTCAAGACGTGATATCCTGAGAGTGCAGAACAGGACGTGAACAGGATATGACAGGGCGATTTTTCACACAATTCAAGATATATCTTAATTAATTAATTGGTGTAATTAAAGCCAAATTAATTATAATTAATGTAACTAATATAACTGAGTATAGTCTGGAAAATTTTCGATATGTAATTGAAATTGCTTAAAAAATTATAAATATAATGCGAGCAAATAAAATAGATCAATGAATTCAACTAACTATACCCTGTAAGCCTTATGAGTGGAAATTAATTATATAGTATAATGCTGTATATAACACAATTTTCAGCGAAATATATTATATGAAATTGATGTTAATATGATAGATTAAAGTTAAATTTTCACAGGTGGGCACAATTCACATAAAAGTGTAATATACCCTGCCTTGTTTTAATATAATTAACATTATAAAAATGTAATTCAACTTAACTAAATGCCTATATATCCTATAGTGGTATATATTTTATTTATTTATTTTTTGTGCCTAATTATATTATTAAATATTATTGGTCTATAGCTGAAACTTCAACGGCATATACAGAGTAAATTGTTTAATTTAGAGTACTAAAAACCATAAGCAATTAAAATATATTTATAGTATTCCATAAGCTATGATTTTAGATCGTTGATCCGTTTAAATGAGAAAAAGAAACTAAAAAGAAAATACTATACATAGCTCACATTTGTCATATTATTTATTATTATTTGAATATATATTATTATTTAAATATAAATAAGAATAATTTTCAGAGCTGCCATTACTACTACTATACCCAATGTGAAGCAGATGCAAGGTAGTTTGATTGCTGCATATGAAAGTGTAAATTTCGTAGAAAGTTAACACAATCACATAAAAATTTATTAGAGATTTTCAAGAGTTTACAACGAGACGGGCCATGATGATCTGATCTGCTAAAAGCGTGTACGCGTGTATGGAATGTATCTATCGATATACATAGAGATTGTCTCAGAATGTTGATTTGGTCGTAGGTTGGCCGAATAGTTGAAATCTTCCCGTAGCTGCTCTTGTTGTGGATGTTGTTTCGATTGACGGTGATTAAGTAATTTTCGCATTTTCTTTTTGGCTAAGCTACACTTGTTTTGTTTTTCCTCTTCATTCTTTTCAATTTAGATTTATATATATATATATATATATATAAATATATATGTGGGTAAAGGTTAGGGCGAGTGGGCTGGGCCTTATGGCTCCGATTTTTTGTTGCTGCCACCTGGCTGCGAATCGTCCATCTGCCCCGGGTGGGCACGCGGCAGGATCGGCGGAGTGGGTTGAGTCATACGCGGCTTGGCATTCCCAAAGATGCTGGCGGCCTGCTTCGTCTCGGCCAGGGCATTGATCGGCTCGGTGACGGTGCGCGGCTGCAGCACGATCTTGGGACGGTCATCGTCGTCCAGACTGGCGAACGCTGGGCTAGCGGTGCCGTTCGATGGCTGATTGTACCGCTCATTGGGATTGTAGTGCCCGCGACGATCGCGTGTCCGGTTCTGGCCGAAGTTCGAGTAGTGCCCGTTGTCGTTGCTGATGCTGCGCTGGCGCTGGGTGGCGCCTCGCCTATAGTTGTTGTTGTTACGGTCGTTGTAGCTGTGTGGGACGAGTGGGTTAGTCGGGTGGATGAAGTGGAGCGCTCATATGCTTACCGATTGTTGTTGCTATAGTTGTTGTTGCTGTTGCTGTTGTTGTTGCTATAGTGCGGAAAACTGCGACTGCTCTGGAAGCTCGTCGACGAAATGTGCGGCTCCACACACTGCCTGGGACTGCCCAGGCTGGACGTGTCGTGGCTGCCGCCACCCAAGGAGCCAAAGTCGCTGCTGTTGCTGCCATCGTTCGTCTGGTAGCCATCGTTATTGTGATGCCCTCGACCACCGCCGCCCCTGGCACCACCCCTTCTTTCGCCACCGCCACGGCCGCCGCGATAGTCGCCTTGCCGTGGGCTGCCCTGCCTGTTCATGTGAAAGTTGCTGTTGGACGATCGATTGCCCACCGGGCGTCCAGGGCTATTCTGCTTGCGCGAATACTGTCCCTGGTAGCCCTGCGAGCCGGCGCTGCCGTCGCGTCGAAAGTTGCGACGATTGTGATTGCCGCCGCCACTGCCGGAGGCAGCGCCACTGCCGCCGCCACCTCCGCCGCCGCCGCCGCTGTTGGCGCCACCGTTGCCGCCCTGGCGTCGATGGTCGGCAATGTCGATGCGCAGCGGCGCCGATAGATTGTCCAGTTTGATGCGTCCATTGCGAGAGAGCGCACGCTTTAGCTGATCCAGTGTTGTGAACTCAACGTAGCCATAGCCCTTGAACTCGTCTGTCTCGCGGTCCTTGATGAGGCGAACGCTCTTCACCTCGAAATCATCGAAAATCTTCATCACATCCCCCTGGACGAGGCCCTTGGGCAGGTTGCCAACAAACGCAATGTAGGGTGGATCGGTTGGGACTTCCCTGTTGCGTTCACGGAAGTCTCGGTTGCGATTGTGGAAGTTTCGATATTCCTGAGAGTTGCCTCGATAGTCACGGTCATGATTGTTGTTGTTACCCCTATCGCCGTTTGGCCGATCTGCCATATTCTACGAGCTTTTCAGTATTTAAACAATATATTTTTGAAGTCCGGAGCTCGTGTTCCCAGACGCTGTGGATACTGTCTATGAAAGACAATTGATTTAATTTGATTTGACATTATTTGACATTTATCCAAATGCCACTAGATCCCATACGTTTCGACCGCATGACATTCAAATCGTTACATTGCTCATAAAGTATTTTACGACCGCCTTGTCAGTATCCTGGATTAGATCCATGTATTTTTTAAAGTTTATCAACCTGTACTTTCAATCCAAATTCCGTGCCAAATGGGGCGATCTGACGAGGAATCTTTTGCACTCCCTGCGTCGCAGACTGTTTTAAGGCCAAGGTAAATCATAAATGATGAATGCTGGCGCCTGGCCACGTTGCCCCCATCCTGTCAACCAGCTCCACGCCACACCACGCCTCGCCACTCCACACCACCTCCTCTCCACTTCACTGGCCAGAAATGCAAGCAAAAAACATGTGTAAGCAGCAGCAGCAGCAGCAGCAGCAGCAGCAACAGAGTAGATGGCTCCATCTACATCTCCAGATTCAGCATTTGTGCTTGTTTGTGTTATGGATAATAAAACAACAACTGCGACGTTGACGACGATGGCAACTACATGAAAAAGTCAACAGCAAATAGTGAGCAGCGGCAACAGCAACATCAAGAGGATGGCGGCGGCGGGGGGGGACCAAGAAGAACAACTACCGCGTTTTGTTTGCACGACGAACTCATGACTCATTTTTGTACATTTGTCAAAATTTTTGCCATACATCATTTTAAACAGCGCGCGACATCGACGAGGGCAAAGGGGCAGGCTCGGAGCGGCTGAGGATACCAGTTGGAATAATATGCACAGCCAGACGAGTCACAGTGGTTCCAGAGACTCGTAATCAGAGAGTAATAAATTGAATCTGTAATTAATATATACTGCAAGACAAAGTAATCGAAAATATCAGTTGGCCATTATATAGCAAGGAAAATTGATGACGAAATTATTGAAAATTATTTAAGCTAATTATGACACATATTTTTTAGACATTTATAGATAGTAATAGGAAATAAATTAGGTATAGACAAAGTAACCGAAATATCAATTGGACATTATATAGAAAGAGAAATTGAAGACGAAATTATTTAAACATTTATAAATGTTTATATATCTAACAGAAAAGTTATATAAAATGGAAAATATATTCAATCTATGAAAAAAAAAAATAAAAAAAAAAAACATAAATAAATAATATGAAGTATAAATGAAAAAAAAAACAAGTAAGAAAGCTCTAGTCGAGACTACTCGACTACGAGATCCCCTGAACCCTTGGAGTAATAGCTATTTCAATAATTTTTCGCGTCTTTCAGCTTACACAAGAAACACGCACACACACACACACACACGCACGCACGCACACACACAGGCATACATACACACATACATACAAACATACACACACACACACATACACAAACAATTACATACATATACACACACAAGCATAAACACGCATGGGCGGCAGTGAGCGCTTACTATGAGAACTTAATTGCTTAATAACTTTTTTGTGGACGTACGATCTTCATGAAACTTTCAGATTATGATTATGACATGGATATGCATGTAATTGCCAAAGCACAAGTCTCTAGTATTTGAAATACGCTTTTTACAAAAGTGAGGGTGAGGGGGTGAATTTAAGGGTGCGGGGTAAATTTTAACAAAAACCGAAATTGTATAAATTGCATATAGGCATACATTAAAATTTTGGAGACTCTAGCAATAAAGGTGTAGAAGATATAATTTTATAACTGGTTTTCGATAAGGTTTTTTATCGATAAAAAAAGATCGGGATGAGTTATCGATTTTTAATGATAAACTTGATATGCGCGCTGTAATTACGAACATTTAAAAAAAAAATTGAAGTCTCTAGCACTTATATCTTCTGAAATCGACGCGTTCATACATACGGACAGACGGACAGACGGACGGACGGACAGACGGACAGACAGACGGACAGGGCCAAATCAACTCAGCTCGTCGCCCTGATCAAGAATATATATACTTTGTGGGGTCTGCCACGCCTCCTTCTGCCTGTTACATACATTTCAACAAAACCATTATACCCTGATTTCCCATTGAAAATGGGTTCAGGGTATAAAAAAAAAATTGTTGAGCTAATGAGGACATAGATATATGTATAATTTATATAGAGGAACAGTTTATATTACCATGGCTGCATTTTGATAAGAAAATATTCAATACAATTAATTGGGAAATAAATTGGTAAATAGCTTCAATATATTTATATAGTATATTTAAATAATACATTTTATAAGAAATTCATTTATATAGTATATCGAGAAAATTATGAAAAATATTGAAGATGGATTACAATTAACGAATGGATGGGTGGATTATCTTTATCGCTCTTTATCCTACTTTTTGAGATTTTAAATGATAAGAAATCGATGTTCGATAATTATTTCTATGTCGATTTTCATCTGACAGCTGACAGTTCAAATGGAATCCATGATAAATTACAGTGAATTTTGGACTCAGGAAATTTACACCTTGCTGGGCAGTTTGCGTCAGTGTGCCATAGAGATTTTATGGTTTGGTTTGGATTCGGCACACGCCAACGCATGCTAAAAGATAAATCGTCAGCAACACGGAATTAAAAACTGATGTAGCGATTAATTTATCACTCACTGGCGCAGCAACAAGCAGCTGCAAGAAGAGTTGCCAGCTACTGGCAATATTTAACTAACAAGTTGCAACTGTGTGGGGGCATGCCACACTTGCCACACTTGCTACTCGTGGCAGTTCCTTTGGCAGCCTGAGCAGGAGCAGCTACTGCGAACGAACTATGAACCGATGCGGACAGTAAATAAATTACGAGCAACAAATAAACGCGCTCGGCTGCATCGATGGACAGCAAAACAAAAAGCCGAGCAAAGGCAAAGGCAAAGGCAATGGCAAAGGCAATGGCAAATGCGATGGCAATGGCCATGGCAATGGCAATAGAGATAGAGAGAGAAAAAAAAGTAAAGAGCGTAGCGAAACGAGAAATGTAGACAAACAAAGACAAGAAAACGGAAACGGAAACGCTTTCAGCTGTCGAATTTGTATGAGCTGCTTCTGCTGCTGCCCCTGGTTCCTCTTGGTGCTTGCTCCTTGAATGCCAAATGCCATGTTCATCCTGTCTTAGGAGGCCAGCTCCATTCGTAAGTGTTCAATCATTTGATTGTTGCAACAATGCAACAGCAACAGCCACAGCCACAGCAACGGCAAAAGAAGTGAAACACCGAAAAGGATTTATGCTCATCGATCAGAATTAATGAAGATTTTGTTTTAGTGCCCTGACAAAGCTTCAGTCGGGCAGAGGGCGCGGCATTGGGGTTGCTGCTGTGGATGTCCAAAGCAGCTTCAAATAGAGCATTTGTTGCTAATCGCTTTCGCCAGGCCGAATGCCACTCGAAGCACTTGCGAACCGGGCACTAACCGTAAATGCTCGAGTATTACACTACATTAGCGAAATTAAATTGATTTTGCCTTGCGCCTGCTTCGATTATTCTGCACATTCTTTCGAGCTTCCTTTCGATGCCCTTGCAACCCTGGCGCATCGTTTGGCTCAAGAGCTGTTGATAGCTGTATTTCACCACCTTTTAACTCTTATTAAGCGTTGCGCTATCTCTTTCTAGTTGGCCCCCTCTCTCTCGCTCCCTTGTTTGCTTGATTTATGCTGCAGTGCCCGCAAGTATGCAGCGTAAATATTTTTATGACCCAATATATACATATATATGATGCCCGCCCCGCCCAGCAGCCCACTGCACTTGTGCCTGAACAACACACACACACACACACACGCACACTCATTCACATGTATGGGAACATCATATAAGCAAACCAGGAGCAGCGGCCCACACTAATCATATTAAATGAAATTCATACGTCGCCGCATTTATGCGATTTACTCAGGGACTCGTGAGCCACTAGCGAGGGTTGCTAAAACGTTTCATATGACGCGCAATGTGATGTGAGTATTGTTGTTGTTGTTGTTGCTGTTGTACGTTGGCTGGCTGGCAACATTTTCGTTGTCGTTTAAACTAATTGAGTGTTACAAATTTTATGTGCAAAATCTTTAAGCTAAATTGAAATTTGTTTTGTTTGCCTTTGGCCTGGTCTGGTCTGGTCTGTTCTAGTTTGTTGTTGTTGCTGCTGCTGTTGTTGTACATTTTTCACATATGATGCGGGTTGTATATGAACCCATTTAATGTTATGTTCACATTTCGTAGCTGGCGTCCGTAAGTGCGCTGAACCATTTTAAAATTGAGGTATGCCTATCACTTTCCAAAATTGCCAACCAAATGGTAAATATTTTTTTTCTGCTTATAATTTATTCAATGTGCTTTGAGTTTCCAGAGAAGTGAGTAGAGAATGGAATATATGTAAGGAATGTATTTAGCTTATTATTGCATAAAATATATGGTCAGATCTGTCTTCATGCACTTTGACTTACTTTACATACTTACCTTAAGCATCGCTAGACTCATAAAGAATTACTTGATTGAGTTTCATAATGAATGAGAGAGCATATGAATTTGGGGTCAGATGGAGAGAGAGAGAGAGAGCGAGAGAGAGATAGAGAGAGAGAGAGAGAGAGAGAGAGAGGGAGAGTCAAAGTAAGAGAGAGTATGAATCGTATGAACTTAGAGGTATACAAATCTACGCCCTGATCATTTTATCATCTCCATTAAAACTTGACTCTGACTGGACAAACTCTGAACGGTTTATGACTAAGGTAACTCACTCTGCAAACGTAGACACTCTGAATATGTGAACTTATTTGATTTTAATCTCAAATTCCATTATTTTGAAGTGAACTTCACTTTAGCAAGATTTTGGCAAGATTTGATAATTGCGTCGCATTCTTGGCCAATTTACATAATTTATGAGGCCAAGTTTGGTGCAGCCCACGCTGCTGGCTTGGGCCAAAAAGAAATGCATACAGCTCGAAGCAGTTAGCGGAGATGATTTGTGATTGTGATTGGGGCCATTGCAGCGACTTGGCTGGCGATAAGAAGCAAATATTTTTTACTGCTGTCGCG